CCGGGCAGCCCCAATTCTTATAAACCGCGGCTAGAGGGTTGGCCTCCGGAGCCAATCAGCCCTGCGAGGCCGACTCTTCCACTCCCACCTCGGGTTCCCCTTCCTTCCTCTCGCCACCCCCTCTTCCTCACTCGCACTGAACGGCCTCCTCCCCCTCCGAGGCTCTGGGAGGAGGAGGCTGCAGGTGGGTGCCCAGTTCCAGACTCAGATGGCCGGTCCTCAGCTACCGGGTGGAGTTCTGAGAGATGGACCGGGGAAGATGTAGGTGCATTCTTTCGGAAAGGACCAGGGCTGCATTGCGGATGAACTTCTGAGCAGTTAGCCTCAGACCCCATAAGATTTAGAAAGTTGACAGTAGTGTTCTCCGAAGACCTTTGCTTATCCACCCTTTCCAAAACTCAAGAATCTCATGGTTTTGGCCCCTTCCACGGTTCCAAACGTACCTTGATGAAGCATTTTGGAAAATAGAAAATTCCACAACTCTGTTCCCAAATCCGTTTCTGCATCTCCCAAGTGGCTTTGAATGAGGCAAGTTTGAAGATAGCAGCAGCAGGCTTATAGACACCAACAGTGACCTACCCATGGGGTGAGGGGGGAATAGCGCAGGAAAAAAGGGAAAGGGGATGCGCAACTAGAAGCAGGCAACCTGGGAAGACTGCAACACTAACAAGGGGCAGTAAACAAAGTTGGTGCTAGAGATACATGTTAATTTAATTGTAAAGAAAACTTCTTTACAAGGCTTTTTAAATTCCTCTGTCGAAGAATTGTGCCCCGTGGTGGGAAAATGAAAATATTAGTATCACTCGCAAATTCATACCTTCAGAGGAAAGAGTTACTGGCCCATTTAAACACCTACAAAACTTAGAATGTATGGGGCAGGGAAGGAGAATCGCGGGGTAAATAAAATCAAAGTACAACGTATGCACACGTGAATGAAACCCATTTTTCTGTACAATTAATATGCACCAATACAAAAATAACTACTTAGGAATTTTTCCACCTTTTTAATAATACTTGTTTGTTTTACGTCCTCTGTGCCTAATTCTCTAGTGAGCACTTATATAGTTTAATATTTAGCACAAATGTCATGTCTCGGAGTTAATAAAACACATCATAATTGAACACTTCAACCTCAATACATGTTGAAGAAGAGTGACCAGGTTGGAATTTAAAATAAATAAATAAAACCATATGAATGAAATGATTTATTGAAACTCCAAAATGCTTTATATGTGAACTTTAAATAAAGGGAAAAAAATCAAATTCCAACAGAGAAGCAATTAACATTAATTTTCTATTCCTTTTAGTTCCTTTTTTATTTTATTTAATTAATTTATTTATTTTTGAGACGGGGTCTGGCTGTGTAGTTCAGGCTGGCCTTGAACTTCTTATGTAGTCCAGGCTGGCCTCGGACTTGTGATGATCCTCTTGCCTCAGCCTCTTGTGCTGAGATTACAGGTGTGTGCCACTGTGCCCAACTATTCCATTTAGTTCTTATCCTGTTCCTACCTTAACTTTGGAAAGTTCGTCTTCTCTTTCCCTTCATCGTTCTCTTCTTTTTCTCTTCTTTTTTTTATTTGGGAAATAATTTTATTTTCAACCTTTCGTACTAATCTTTAGTAAAATCAAAGGGTTGTTGTTTTGTTTTGTTTTGTTTTTGTTTTTGTCATTGTTGTTGTTTTTACTGGGGAAGGATTGAACTCAGAAACTTGCACTTGCAAGGCAGGCGTGGTGCTACTGAGCTAAATCCCTAGCCAAGATCAAAGATTTCTGAAATGTGTTATAACCGAATGAAAAATGACTTACCCTTCCATTCTTTTTCAGTTTTCCTATAACAGTATTTTATATGTGTTTTTTGTTCCTTGAAAGCTATTTATGTATTCATCTATCTACATTATTTACTCCCCAATTAATATGTCAACCCATATACTCAAGGATCTTTTCTGTACCACTCCCTTCTGGAATATTCCACTTTCTTTTCTTTTGGTACAGTAGGTACACAGTAGCTACTTGAATAAAGAGTGAAGACCTGTTCTGAGCCTCTGCCGCGCTACTCCTCTCCTAAATTAGTCACACTTACACACTCATCCCATTACTTCCAGTCTTGCTTGGCCCCTGAACAGTTCAGTTCTGTAGATGCTGACAGTCCTTTTTTAAAATAATCAAGACTATATATCACTCCATATTCAGAATGGCTTCCAAATATTGTGGTCTAAGTATTTGATATAAAAAATCTCCAATGGTCCTTCCTGAGCTGGATGACTCTTCTAGTTCTTCCTCTTTCAGCTCAAGTACCATCTCTTCACAAGAACTTCTTCACTCCCTAACCCAGGTGACTCCCTGTTTCTCTGTATCTGTGTCACCCTTAACTTCACCTATCACGAGGCTCATGCACTCATTATTCATTCTATAGATACTGAGAACCTACTCTGCACTGCATTGCACATTCAGTGCAAGGAACATGACAGAACATAGGGCTAACATTCTGGTGAGAAAACAATACTGAACAAATATTTACATAGAAAAAATTTTTTGAGACAGGATCTCTCTATGTAGCTCAGGCTGGCCTTGAACTCAGTATGTAGCTCAGCCTGGTCTCTAACTTACAAGTATCTTCCTATCTCAGCCTCCTGCCATGCCATACCACATATGATTCATGCAAATAATTAAAACCCTGACGAGTACTTCAAAGATATTGTGCAAGTACAATTACAATTTTATAATGATTATGGGTCCTAAACATTCTGGAATCTCAAAGAAGGCTATTAGACAATCACTATGACTACTTCTAGAATAACAACTGTCCAGGGAGCAAGGGACAAGGGGCCTGATTTCAGCACAGAGTGGATGTATTGTTACAATTACTTGTTTAATATGTCTCACCAATTGCATCTGTTTGTTGTATTTACCAAGAATTCATTAATATACCATGTTAATATGTACCATATCAGTATACCAGCTAATAATTACTTTATCAAAGTAATAAAGTAATTAAATCAAAGCTGTGGTAAAATGATAGGTATTAAGAGATTCCAGAACTAAGAACATAATTGAAAATGAAAAGTATATGTCAATACTCAAACTATAAATCACACAAATATTAGATCAACATTTCTCGAGCTGTATTCCCTATTACTCAGTTATATTAAATCCAGATTCTTATGGATCCAAGAGACAGTTTATCAGTACTCATAGTTGTAAAATGTAGGATTAGGTTTACATTCAGACATGGCTAGATACAGGCCTGAACCTAATGCTTTTTTCTTGAGCTAGAGGATTAAGCTAATCCAATGGACAATGGACAGAGCAGAGGGGAGAAATAGTTCTAAAAGAAAATTAAACATAGATAAGATAAAGGTGAGGAATTGATGCTGCATTGCTGAGGAGGCAACACTAATAGCTGTCTAGTATCAGTAGTTCCACTACACCAGCAGTTTTCAAACTTTTTGGTCTCAGCACTCCTTTACATTCTTAAAAATTATTTCGGATTCCAAAGAAATTTTGTTTATATCAGTTATAGTTATAATGGAAATATTAGGAATCCACAGAAATTTTAACATATTGACACATTAACACAGTATTTATTTTTTTTAAAAACAAGGCTTTAAAAAAACTAGACTAATGGCACTGTTTTACATTTTTTCAAATCTTTGCTATTTGACTTAATAGTTTCATAGCCACTTCTGTACTTATCCTATTATAATATTGAGCATAATGCAGTCTCTAGAGAATGCTACTGTGCACTCTTGAGAGAATAAAAATGAAAAAGAAAATAATGCCTACTATATCTGTAAAGTATGTTGGGCTTTGCAGAAACTCTTGAAAGGATCTCAGAGATTTAGGGATTCCCTATCCCACCTGGAAAATGTCTGTGGATACAATCTTGCCCCCTGAAGAGTGTGTATACACTGGGTAGGCTTCTCACTGATGCTAGATATTCATCTAAGAAAAAGGGAAGTTCCATGGCCAGGTTAGCTTTGAAAATATTGTATTAAAATTAATATCTTGTATATGTAATGCAGTTCTTATTACTGGAGCTACTATATAAAAGTAAATAATAAATTTCTGGAACTTTCCAAACATCTTTTAATCTTTTTTCCTAGGCATATCAAAGGTTTATAGAACAAGATTTGTTTTTTTTAAAAACTAAATGACAGACACCTGTAGGACATGAATGAACAGTCAAACACAGATGGATCAAATGTCAGTAAAATAATCATTGGTCAGGGGACATACAGGATGGAGGAGCTAGAAGTGGAGAGAGGAGAGGCAAAGCCATGGAGAATGTTGACGATTGTGAAAAACTGGAGAAAAGCATTCAAATTCCATTCTAAGCCTTCTGCTGGCCATACCAAACATTTCCACACACCTGCAGTTTTTAGTCTATCCATGTACTTCATGAAGTCCCTTAACACATTCATGATTGGCCATAATTTGTATGTTCTGCTACTGGGCAACTCGAACCACTGGTGGCACATGCATGGCTGTCCCATCAGAAAGCTTGTACCATTGGTGGCACAAACGGATCTAATCAGTCTTTTTACTCATAAATTTAATGAAAAGCTGCCTGATGGGACAGTCACAGATGTGCTACTGGTGTTCCGAGCCAGCAGGAACATGTTGAGCAACAATGGCCCTTTACATTACTCTAAAGCTCCATAGCACGGCATAGGCCACTCTTCAGTTTCTGCCTCCTTTACCACCTCATTTGTCCTGTGCA